GGGTTCGTTACAAATGTCTGAAATACACATATTCTATAGACCTACTGACACATATGTTACAGACCTACTGATATGAGTCACAGCACACATAAACATTTCAGACATTTGTAACGAACCTGTGCTCCGTCGCAAGATCACTCACTTCAAACGCTATCAGTTTCACGCGTCTCGCGTCCACGGACGGTTCCTTAGTTTCTGACGACATGTCAAATAACGAGTCTGTTCTTGAATCTACCGACTGTTGTCAGGTTCCCATACAATCAACAAATAAATTCACGCCTGGATTCTTTACAAAATGAGCAAAGAGAAAAGTTCGAATTAACTTCCAAAAATAACTCCCTCGTGGAGGGCAAGGTCGGATTTACGGTGTTCACTGTATTTGTCCATGCGCGAAATTTGTTCCGGGGAAAAATCGAACAATTTCAAATCTAACTTTCAGCTCAGAGTTCTATTGATAGACCTAAATCACCCTATAGACATATAATACGCAATTTTATTGATACTGAATTGTGGAATAAAATTGAAGTGTTTGTTAAAATTTCAAAGAACTACTTTGTTTGCCAATCTGCACGCGACAATACGCTGTTCAAACTATTGAACGAAATTGTGTGGACTGCCGATAAGGCGAGCATTTTTAATTTTAAATATAAATTATGAGTTAAAAAAGAACATAAGAGGCAGAGAAAACGTAAATATAAGTATTGAACTGTTTTTGTATGGTATTTATGATCTATTTGAATGACACAGCTTTGCAAGCAAACAACATAACAATATGATTTGTTTGCTTGCAAAGCTGTGTCATTCAAATAGATCATAAATACCATACAAAAACAGTTCAATGCTTAATTGAAATCAAAAAAATATGTTTTAAGTATTCTTTGAAATACTTGTATTTGTATACTTGTATACTTTGTATACAAACACCAGTCCTGGACCCTAACGCCATCTAAATGTTTTCTTCCTATGACGGTCAAACTTTGGACATGGCAGAAAGAGAGGCTTCAACATGATACTAGTTCAGGTGTGCTCGAAGCCCTATGAATGCAATTTCTTGTTGTATGAAAACACAGCAATGTTATCATGACCCAAATGAAGCATTGCTATGTTCTTTAAAGTATCCAATGTGTATATACACATAGGCATAATAACGATTACAGTACATCGAATTCTGTAAAACCATTGTCTTTCTGTACCATCTTTTTAATCAGTTTCCATGTGAAATGAAAAATGTCCATTTGCTCAGCAATGATCATAGTCATTTTCCACTTTCTCGGATTCGTAACGAACATTCTGCTTCCTCAACTCGTCATAAACACCGTCGTCAATTCCATTGGTCTGGACATGACCCACTCTCACATGATCGTATGGATCGATCTCTCCAACCGTCTTTCTTTGTTTTTGTACGTTTTTTCTTTTACCACCATATCCGTTTTCTTCTTGCTCTGGGTCATCGTCCTCCAAATAGTGTTGTTGTTGTTGTTGTTGTTGTTGTTGTACCGTTGCTTCAACTCGTTCATTTGCGTCATTATCAAGTACGAAATAATTGTCGTTTCCTTCGTTTCGTGTAGAAACAGGGTTGCATCCTGTTTTTTCAATTACAAAATAATTTTCTTCCACAGACGTTGAATTTGAATTCACCGCCAGCAGAACATTTTTCACTTCTTTGGCCCGATCATAGTCACCGTTTGGAGAGGTAACATCTCTTTCGGCGAAGAAATACGCGTTTCCACCGTCTCCTTTGACCTCAGAAATCGGTTCATAACATTGACTGTCTTTTGTGCATTCTAAAGACCTGTCCTTTGTAAGTATTGGCGTTAAATCCTGAAATTTAGGTTGTTCAGCAAATTTAGCATAACTATAGTCTTTTTCACCAGTTGTTTCACGCTTTGGATCGTCGGCCATATCATAAGTATGTACGTCATTTTCGGTTTCTTCATATTCTACATTGTCACGAACAGTATCTCTCTGGTTATCCTAAAAATTAATAAACTTAAAATATGCATATGCATTCTCCAAATATATCAATTTGTCTTTAAGTAATACAATAGTTTACATTTAAATTATTTGAATTAGAGATAATATATTAAAGTGAACGTTTGATAAATACGTGTCGACCACTGGTACTTTTAATGTATTTCAAAGCTCAAAACTTCATAAACGACAATATGATAATACATTTATGTATTATTGTTTTTTTAATTATAAAGTTACTTTGATTATTTTAAAACAACTGCATTTGATGCTTCAATTTATTTTCGCTACATGAGTCTTTATATTATTTGTGATGATTAGAAAATCGCGGATTAGAACTATAACTACATCAGCACAAGGATCTAATGAGAAGTGTATCACGTGATATCAGTTTACACAAATTTAACGCGTTAATGTAATCTGAAAACAAAAGCAAATTAAAATTTCCTTTTTGAACATTAACCTGTAAATCTTCATATGACGGGTTTGTGATGCAGGATTCAGTGTTGTCGGAGGGTTTCTTACCCCTAAAATCAATAAAAATATTAATGAGATTTCCGCTTAAGCAATTGATAACGAAATCCACGATAATTTTGAACCGCATTTAACTTGTTAAATCTGTGATCAAATTTTGTTAAAGACTTTTATATGAATATCATATAAATATAGGTTACCGTCAAAGACAAAATACGAAGTCAAGTCGAGAATTATACAAAAGTTGAGGATATAACAGAATGTGACAAGTATGTGAAAAAGTAAACTTATGCTCCGAAATGTGTCATTTACTACATGACATCTCCCGTCAAAATATAGATATTGAGTTTATCTTCATAGACACTAAAATGTCATAAGTTAATAATACCTTAAGAGTGTGACTCGGATATCTAAACCCGACGGATGACTATCTTATTTGTTTTATCCAAGGCTTGTCATATTTACTCCTTCAAAAGTGTTTCTCATCTCATTCTGAATATTAAGTCATGATAACGACCATACAACTTCCTCATCTTATAACATGTTCAATCCATCAACAGGGGCGCTAGTATATATTTTACTTTATCAATAATAAAAATATTATGAACTCTACTTCACATCCCCCACCCATCTAATTATTTTTAGCTTAATATGAAAATACACAATACAATATCTTTGGCAATGTCTATCCCAAATATTGCAGTACGACGCATTGTGTGAAAAGTCGAACATGTCTTAAGTACCTTCTCTTCTTTCGAAGACATACAAAAACGGCAACGCTGACTAACGTTATCACGAGAGCAATCACTCCCCCGACGGCCGCTAGTGTAGGTATATGATCTCCATTGGATTGACTGGCTACAAAAGTAATGAAACAAGCAATATTTTGATAACCTTTATTGATTTGAAGTGTCGTTCCAGAAACCAAAGGGGAGCTTAAGATATCATTTATGAGCAAATGGTGTTTGGTTTGCAGAAGAAAATATTGTCCTTTTTATTGTTAAAGTAATTGTAGATGATAACTTAACATGTTTTTCTATGTCACGTGAATCAAAAGGAACAGAAACAAAGAATTGTACGAAAATAATAAGAACATTTGTATATATATGTATTTTTGCTTGGACATAATAAAAATACATAGATATTAAACAGTCTTTAAAAATTTGTGAACGACTTTGATGTAAAAAAAAAGCCTTCAGAGCACAGCTGACTTATATTATTGGATTTAACCACTCACCTGTTTTTGCTAAACTTAACGACACTGCTATTGTAGTTGTCGGATTCATGTTATTCAATGGAATCCTTGATGTGGTATAGTCGGTGCTATGTCCTGTCGTTGAAGTCACCGGTTGAGTCTTTGAGAAGTCTAATGAATAAGGAATTTAAGAAGTAAAATCTGATACAAGAACATCCGGTTACGAGAACAATGTTAAACACATATTTAAAGTATAGCTGTTGATTACAATACAGAAGGAACTAACCTATTTTGGCGGAACTTAAACGAGATGGTGTGGTGTTGATATATTCAAAGCTCCGAGGGAAATCCGTCGTCATGTTGGGAACGGTGTTTGCCGTTGTCGTAGCAGCGACAAGTGTTGATGTTGAGGAGTCTAATGCATTTAAATGAACAAACAAAATGAGAAAAAAGAGAAATGCATTTTTCGGAAGTTTGTATGAAATAATGACATACTACATGAAAGTTATTTTTGTTATTGTATAAATTTATTATTCGTTTATTTATTTCCTTTTGCATGTTTTTTACTATTTTATTTGTTAGTTTGTTATTTATTTATCATTTATGTGGGATGTTTGTTTTTGTTTTGTATTTATTTGTATACTTACACATACAATTGCAGAAATACTTGAAGCATTTATCCTCGCTACATTCGGTACAACCATATGCATTGTCCTTACACTCGCATGAATAACAAGAACAATCATAGTTGGTGACGTATTCTTGAAAATCACTGTAGAAAGTGTCTATGTCGAAAGATGTTTCGTTAACATCAAATCGAAGCTTCGCCTTGTAATGGCATGTAGGATCCTCGTCGCCATCTTCACATTCGAGGTTATGGACTGATAATGAATGCAATAAAGGCAGTTGTTCTGTTGTTATTAATGAAATCTCACACTATAATGTTAAACATATCTAGATAGACTTATAAACATTTAAATTGTTGGCATCTCGTATTAAACTGACCAGGATTTTGTTTGCCGTATAACCATACATATTGGAATATTTCTTCATATTCGTGCAAGAATAATTACGTATTTAAGATTTGTTTTTTAATACAACATCTCGCTAAAGTTTAAAATGAAAACTTTGCTTGAAACCAACAAATGGTGTCATTGAACATTTTTATAATGATGTTATATACTAATTGCATTGGATTCATTAACAAATGTGAATGAACTTGCTTACTCTTTTTGTAGATCCTTGCAGATCTGATCACACCTAGTGTCAAATGAACTTTGGTTTTTCCAACGCTTTCAACGTATGTACATTTGTTTCCTTTGATACATGTCAAAGAAGCAAGTGCATGGACTTCCGTGCATGTCCCGTCAGATTTGCAGTTTTTATTTACCTTTTTGATTGCCTTTTCAACGTTGGTTCTTCTTTCTGAAAATAAAATAAGTAACGCCTGATACATACTTCTAGTAGTCAAGCATCAGCATATAACCAAGTGTTCCATACGATTTTTAACCCTACATGTACCTAACATTTGTTCAGGTTAAATGTAGTTCAGAAAGCAATCTACCGGTATTTAACTTAGAAAAATGGTGGTTTTTTTTGTTTGTTTTTGTTTTATATCTGACAGCGAATTTGTCAATTATTAAAAAGGTCAGGGTTGTTTCCGTTCTCTTTTATGCCATTAAATATGTCAAATTGTCAGTAGAATTGAACTTTAAATATTAAAGCGATTTTCCTCAAAAGCTAAGTTATAACATAAAAAATGAGTTGGTTGCTTGAGTCAGAAAAAGTGAATGGTTGTGAAGCCAGTATGAGTGTTACCCAAAGTAGTCTATATTAACCGAATGATAGATAGGTTAACTTTTGATATTCTTTGAAAATTATAAAACAAACATACAATTTATTTATTACTTATCATTAGGACTGAGTTCATAAACAAACGACTGCACTCATAACTGATCTCTCATAACAGCAGTTGAATTGAAAAAAAAAATTGCATTACACTGTATTCTTTTATCATATATACATTGTAATATCTATATCACAGTCAAGACGTGTTAAAAATGTGTTCTTTAAATGTCATCAAAAATCCCTTGAAATAAGAAAAAGGAAGCACCTATTTGAAAATGTTGTTTCATTGCAAAATGCGACCATTACATCCAAACTAAAGGTCAAAAGCATGGACATCCCTGTCTGAAGTGTTAAGAAATTCAGCTATGGGAAAGGTGACTATAAAATATTTTATGAAATATTATTTCTAATTTTTGGAAACAAAATATAGTTTATTCTAAAGCTGATATTTCGAGGTAACGGTCAACGAATGAGATTGGTAGTCAACTGATATTTTTGAATTAAATATGTTAAATTTTCCGTAAATATTTTCGAACGCAAAAAGCATCGAAAAGTTCATTTTGTTGTATATATACAATGAATATATCAGCATAAAACATCATATCTGTATTTTAAAAAAATGATTTTCAACTAAAGTCGACAGCTTGTATCCAGTAAAGCTTTAACATGAAGCGTTAACCAATTTATATTAAAGTTGATTACTAGTTATTGAGATAATGTTTCATAAAAAATACAATGCTATAGAGCACAATTTCCCAGTCAATTCGTGATAACCATCCGTGTCTTTGATTATTCCTTTTTGTATTCTTAAACAATTTTCGAAATCTTATTACACATTGAAATAGGATGACTTATGCAAATTATGTATTTTCATATCAAAATACAATTATTGAATATCCTGTACCCGTTTCCATATTGAAGATAATCAATCATTTCATTGAAAGGGTATTATTCTTTAAATCTCGTTTGTCCAAATCATTACAATAAAAATATGAAATTTAAATATCAATGGATTTCAGAATTGGGCTTGAGTAAAGAATTTGGACTTGAATAGTTTTAGGAGTAATGGTCATGGATCCATTTTTCCCAGCAAGCTGATACCTCTTTGATTTCTAGTGAATTTCGTATAGGAGTTCCGTTCCAATGACATATGACATATGTATTTCATTCAGAAATATCAAAACGTATTATTTGTAGTTACAAACCTGACTCAAGCTACGTTTTCAACATACCGTTTCCATACAATGTACATGTAGTAATGGCTGTAGATGTCCTCATGGTCAGAACATAGGTTAATATCAATGAAAAGTAGACAATATGGTCTGCGAAAGAAAAACAAAAAATATGAATATATCTTTAAAATATGTAGTGTTATTAACTGTAAAAATTACTGTCTAACCGTTCTAAATTCCCATGTTGATCTTCTCCGTATGTGCTTCATGTAGCAGTGAAGGCTTTTTTTAATTACAAAACCATATTTTCAAAATGATTTCTCAATGAAATAAATAACAAAATACTTTTTACGTTTTGGTTAACATTTCTGCCATTGTTATTACAAAAAATTGCTCCCATCATCTTCCGTTTTAAAATGATCAGAAGTACCTTCAGAATTTAAATACATTTCATTTTCAAAAGTTTGCTATCAGCATAAAGCATAATTACAGTTACGTATGTGTCCCTATTTTAACCATCATACGGCAATGCATGCTGTTGGCCTTAATCGACGGATAAATGCTATGTCATGACAATAACATAGTTTACCGACCTGCATCTTTAGAACAATTTTCCTGACATCACATTTATCAATAATGGACTTTTACTGAGGTGAATATGTGGTTATATAGACCCGAGGAAGTGGTATTGAACGAGACAAAGTCTTTGTTTTGGTCCGTATAACCACATTTTCACCTTTCACTTTAAGTCCATCATTGATAAATGGAGCTTGGAACATTCCCTTTTAAAATGTCTGTTTGGTTCTTATCAGTATGATATAAAGGTTGCATTTCAAGTTGTTATACTCCAGCAATTTTCCATTTGCTTTCATCGTTCATATCTCAAGCCGAACGACGCGCGTTTACAAATAACAAAGCGGTCGGAAAGAACAACGAGTCTCGTTTGCGTCGGTAAAAGGGTCAATATCTAAACAAGAGACTATTTGAACTATAGTTTTTAGAATATTACAGCAAGGGGAACAAAAAGACAATCCAAATATTTGAATAAGGTTTGAATTGTAGATACTATCTTTATAAGTTTCTGAACATGACAGCTTAATATGACGTCACAGTGATGACGTTATTACTCACATGATACGGTTATGTGTCCGCTACGGTTACTGGGGACAAGACACATTAAAAATAAACCGTTAAATTAATTTACACATTTACAATTTATTTTTACTCAACAACTGAACCAACAATCTAACATTTATGTGAGGTTTCCCTTAGAATTGATGACAACAGTTCAAACATTTCATGCTTTTTCAGTTTTAAGGATTGGTACTTTAATCTTTTTACGACAGACAATTTAATAATACAATTAAACAACGTTTTTCTGGTATAAAAAAGCACTCCATAACACAGATGTTAAAAAAAGTACAAATCTAAACTACTTTCTTATTGAATTATTAAATGATTTTTTCAAATGTTCTGAAAAAGTGGCCGTAACGGAATGAACATAAACGAAACGGCAAAGACTGTTTGTTACACAATTTCGATGCACAACATCACATTCCGATATATCGACCTATATCTTTATTCGTAGTTCATAAGAGTTACAAAATTTAAGCACAACCATTCTCACTGCACAATGAATGGATAGCGTAAAACGGTATTATAAAATAAAAATTATATAAGTTAAGTTCTATAAAGTTCCTTAATACAGAACAAGAAAACTTATAACTTTTAACCGTAAGGAAATGTAAATTCGAACGTAATATCTCAATCATATTTTTTAGAAATTTCTGCCCAGTTATTTGGGCTCATTTGAAGGTGGCGCTTGGTAACATGGGTTAGTTCCGGTGTAGGCGTAATGACATGGGAATATTTGTACCAAATGACGTCATCAATAAGAGGCCAGAAGTACCTGTTAACACCTACTTTATGTAGTACCTTAACCTCTACTTATTCCTGGTCCACATCCAAAATTACTCCCGGAAATGGAACACCATCATATTCCACTACACACCATTGCCCTATCATATCTGTAACAATAATACCTTATGTAAGAGATCTAACATTGTTTGACCATTTCTCTTAAATTGCATTGAGGTACTCGCAGAGTCAGACACGGGCAAGGTACTCGCAAAGACAAACACGGGCAAGGTGCTCGTGGAGTCGGACACGGGCAAGGTACTCGCGGAGTCGTACACGGGCAAGGTACTCACGGAGTCGGACACGGTCAAAGTCTTCACCGAGTCGGACAAGGGCAAAGTCACCACGGAGTCGGACACTGGCAAAGTCATCACGGAATCGGACATGGACAAGGTACTCGAAAAGACGGACACGGGCAATGTACTCGCGGAGTCGGACACGGGCAAGGTTCTCGCGGAGTCGGACACGGTTCTCGAGGATTCGGACAAGGGCAATGTACTTATGGAGTTGGAAACTGGTACGGTACTCGTGGAGTCAATTGCATGCATGGTGTTATCAGAAACAGATACAGGTACCATATTTGCAGCAGCAGATACTGGATACTCACAGTATCGGAGATAGGCAACGTGATCGCAGATTCAAATGTGACTGTTTTAAGTCGGTGTTCCTCGGGTCAAAGCAAGGACGTATTGCTGGTCTTGAAATAGAGCACGACAATGGTCTAGCCGCAATTACTGTCGAGTCGTGACAACTTAATTCCGGATGCAGTATATATCATTTGAGTCACAAATGTCTCGGCCGAACGAAACTGCTTTGTCCGTCGTTCGTTTAATCAGACCGCCGATTCCATCCGGGCATCTTTACCGTGCCCAGGCTTCTCTAAAGTTCCATGACGCATGCTTAAAACCATACTTATGAATCATGTGGTTAAACAAGAAGAATTTTTTGCGAGACCTATACTGGGTTGTAGGACGATCAGATACGAAATGAATGGTATCTATCTTGTCATTGGCGCTTCTTATACCTTCTAATATTGGGTGAAGATGAGCCCAAATTGCCACTGGGTCGTGTCTAGTATAAGGCGACAATGTACAAAACGACGATAGTTTTTCATTTTTGGAGTAAAAACACCAGTGTGAAGGGACACCAGATTTCTGAATGCTCCAAAATGCATGCCCTGCACCTCTTCGCCCAATTTGCAGGTATAGTTCTCGGAAAAATCTATATGCATAATGCAGTCATGCTCGTTTAGATTTTCTTTGAGATTGCGTATTTCTTTAAATTGGTGGTTTATATTAAGTTCATGTCTACACATTTTGGATGATAACACTGTATTTGTTTCTTCTAAAAGATTTCCAAGTGAACCTTTTCTTTGACTGTACTTGGCATTTGTTTTTCTATTAGTTTGGTTTCACAGTCCGTCTCTCATCTATCTTGTTTTGCCAGCAAAACTCCCACACTTGCTTTCCTCCCTCGTATTCTCCCATACATCTTAATTTTTTTCCATAACATTTCTGAAATTCCCTGTGCATACACTCGTTTTCCACTTTCTGGCAACATCTCTCTCTACAGAGTTCAAAAACCGATCTGTTTTAAAAAAAAAAGGTTATGTTCAACTAATCTATTAATTTTAAATTAAATATTTGAATGAATTTTACATGTGCATGTATCCCTTTTGCCAAATTTTGGATCTAAAACCCAAAATGATTTCAATCTGCAAAATGCCGTGTATGATATCATTTTGTTAATCGGTTGCGACACGTAGATCTTGTGAAGATTTTTCTAGAGTATTGTTCATGATTTCACTTTGTTTTTCTCTCTCTATTTCTCGTAATGGTGTCATTTTAGCGGCTTCATACGGGAAATTATGTCCAGTTCTAGAAATTTCTGCACATTTTCACTCACCTCTGCAGAAACGGTAATTGCGTTTCTTCTTCTTTTATATGCCCATTGGTCACCGTTGACTTTTGAAGACCTGTGAAATACCACAACGCTTTGCTTAGTGCACAACTTTGTATTTCTTCAGACTATCTCTGGATACAAGTTTTCCGATCAGCCGCCTTTGCTTCTCTGATTTCAAGCTTTCATGTTTTCCCCACAGATTCTTCACAATTAATGTGTTAAGTAAGGCATCTCTTCCATTTTCTTTCTTCTGTGTGGATTTCATAGGTAACACTTTCTTTTCCATTCTCTGAAATCTCTTTCGAAATTTATCTGATTTTGGCGGGAATTTTTTTTTCTTTAACCTTCGTAAACTCTTGCTGTAGTTTTCTATAGTTTTTCCTTACAGTCTTTATACCAGCTATTATCTTGCGCAAAGCCATTTGCTGACGCGAGTCATTAAACTTGTACAGATGAAACTGGGGACGTCGGGGGTGATAACACATTTTCTAACGTAGATATCATCTTCTTCTGTTGCGTTCTCTTTTCCGTTTCTGTATCTTCCGTTGCGTTCTCTGTTTCCGTTTCTGTATCTTCCGTTGCGTTCTCTGTTTCCATTTCTGTATCTTCCGTTGCGTTCTCTGTTTCCGTATCTATATCTTCCGTTGCGGTCTCTGTTTCCGTGTCTGTATCTTCCGTTGCGTTCTCTGTTTCCGTGTCTGTATCTTCCGTTTCAGTCTCTGTTTCTGTTTCTGTATCTTCCGTTGCGGTCTCTGTTTCCGTGTCTGTATCTTCCGTTGCGTTCTCTGTTTCCGTGTCTGTATCTTCCATTGTCTTCGTTTCTTACTTATTGCTCTCTCATCTTCAGATGAATTTTGTTCTTTTGCAGTCTGATTATTTTTGTCGTATCTTGATTTTTCCTTCCTACGATAGATCCATATTTTTGCGGATCACTTTTCAATCTTTCTCTGTATTTTCTCATTCGTTCTGCCGCGGACATACCCATTTTGTAGTATTTGCTTTTTTCAAAAGCAACAGTTTATCCTTCTCTTTAAGGTAGCTATCTCCACTATTTTCCAACCAAATTTCACTTAATTTGCTTGCGAAAGAATATTCTAAATGATATTGACATAAAGTGAGTTGCCCGTCCAAACTTTTTATGTAGTCGTCAATTTCTTTTTCCGTTACCTGTAGCGCTCATTTGAGTTCTCGTTCCGTCATCTGTTTAAATATGTATATTATTTTTTATTTTATTTTATTTTTTTATCAATTTATTTTTCCAATAGTTTTTCATAATATATGTACAGAACAGGTATTTTCATTTTCACACTCTCTAACACACATTTTGACAC